AGGGAGTTTATTACTATGAAGTTTCAAATAATGTCCTGTGATTGATTTTTGATTAAGCCGACAGTAGTTCAACACAGGGGTCATAAAAATGAGGCGAATGTGAAAAAAACTGGCCTTCCATTTGGGGAAAACAAATTATATTTGCTGCATTAAAAGATGTGCGGTTGCTGAAAGTCACAAGTACCATCAGAGAACCCCAGATGCGGTTATTCCAAGACAGAAACTTCTAGAAAAAATGTAGATTACGTCGGCAGGTATGGAACCACCTCTGGAATCAGCGGTAGTTGGTGAGCTTTTCTTTAAATATGGTAGGGGTAAGCAATGTTTACTCGACCCAATTGCTCTACCTTACACAAGAAATAGGCCATTCACGACGGAATATTTTTAAAAATATATAAAATAATATAGACCACTAGAAGTAAGCAAATTTACTTTAAAAAATCTCCAATAAACCCGCCGACTGCAAGGAAACAAAAATTACCCCCCAAACAACTCTCAACACAGCTAAAGCTAAAAGGGAAACCGTTGAACTGGCACCAACATTTACGATACACAATCCCTGTACGAGTACATGAACATGACAGCAGGATAATTCAACTTCGCCAGTTGAAAAAAAAAAAGCCACATTTCAATGAGAGATATTGTATGAGTCACCCTTTAGCATACTTGATATTGAACATCCAGAGCGCTGCCATAAGAGCTTGGTGATATTAATCGCTCCAAAGAGTTTTGTTACCACTGCATGTACAAACAGGTGTTCGGAAAGTTATAGGCCGTCTAGATGGAACACGACAAGAGGCAAGCCGCTTGGAGAGTGTCTGTAGTACGAGCAAGAAGTAGTCGCAAGAACAAGGAAAAGTACCGGAATGTCAGAAATGCAATGCAGTTTTGACATTTGAGTAGCTACAATTAGAACGCTCTCAAGATATGGTATAAAGGAAAATAGTAATAAAGCATAATTCATCAGCTAATGCCTCAGTGGATCTAATTTAAAATTGCATGAATGTTTTTTTTTCAGTTTCAACTCCGATAAGTTGTCCCACGAACGACAACTTGCGCTTGTTTTTAGATGTAGCATAAATTCACTAAGTCATTTGAAAAAAAAAAAAAATCGTACTCTTAGTGAGCGTTCAATTATTTTTTTTACGCTTGTAGCACTATTTTGGACTAAAATTTGGCACAAATGAACTGCCTAACCGATATTACCGGTTGGCCTTGATAAAAATTGTGCTTCTTCACCTTAAAGGACAAACTTTGAGTGGCCAAACGCTCCGTCTCAGCCGAAATGTAGCGCTAGCAGTTTGGACCAGATGCCAAATTTAGCTTGCCTTTAACTAGTTCAAAAGTTATGAGCGATTTTCCTCAATTTACAACGAGAAAATGGGTCCCTTTTCGTATAGCCGACACCAGTCATGTCCATGCTTTCCTGTGCTGAGACTTAATGAACCTTTATTGGAAAGCTTCGCTCCTCCGGCAGTTCTTTGTGATGCACATGTATTCGTTTATTTATTTATTTGTTTATTTTCTTATTTATATCCTTATTTGTTTTTTGTTTAGTTGTGCATATATGTCTGTATGTACGAATGTGTGTTTTGTGCATGTATTCATCTATTAATTCAATATTTATGTATTTACTCATTCATTCATTTAAATTACCTCGCAGCGCCTAAAAGGCATAATTGCGAGGGGGGGGGGGGGGTACTCATACAATTTCATAAATGTACATACGTTAGCGTTTGAGGAGGCGCTGCTTTGATTGTCTCCAAAAGTAGTAGCGGGAGTTTTCGCCAAGATATGGCCGCAAGACCGATACTTTTGTGCTTCGTATATCCGCAAGGCAAACATTTTAACGAGTGGCTCGGGACGCGGCATACGAGGCACGAATGTCTAAGTAACCGGCAATCGTATCTCAATGTAATTTTTTTTTGTGTTTTGTTATATATATTTTAGTTTGTTTAGAGATTAAGTTATGTCTGCGGCACCAAGATAAGAGACCGGAGGGTTTTACGATTTTATATAGTGCTGCTAAGTAAATAAAATAACACTATAATTTATTTAAACATTATCAACCACAGGGTTGGGCAGTATCGCGGTGCAAATGTATCGCGATGCTGCCCAACCCTGCTGCTTTTGAAATCGACCATTCCAGCCGATTTCCTTCAACTTGATTCCACGGTGACGTTATAAGGTCACCGATTAAGGAGTCGTCCTGATTATACATAATCATAGTGAATTATCTAAGTTATTTGGGAGGACACAAAACTAATTTAGATGTCCCCGGAATTTTGTCTCAGAAAGATAAGAGACGCCGAAATAAAACCGCGCTCGAGCCACGGTGAACAAGTCGCTTGCTCCTCTTGCTGCTTCTCAAAATAGAAGATGTTGATTGAGCGGTAGATCGGATTCGAGCTTCATTCAGGTTGCAACATGCAGTGAGAACTTGCTTTCTGGTTTCAAAATAAAATGTTGTATTCTTGTGCATGCTTCTTGTTGTTCCTTATGTGCTCTAAAGGGTTCACCAAAATATCCAAAATATTTTTTTAATGTATTTCAGTGCCTGTATTTCAGCCACATCAAAATGTATTCCTGTATTTGTATTTCCAAATACCTTTCTATTTTTCAAATGTAGTTCTGATAGGCTTTGCGATACATTTCAATGCATTTTAGTATCAGTACCTAGCTGTTTTTGCCATGTACCCCAGTATTTGTATTTCAAAATATTTTTGGGCGTACTTGTGCCCAGCCTTGCTCGACAGGCGTGCAGAATATCACGCTTTTAAGAGTGCTTCACCAACAATGCAAAACAAATATCAAAACACGTAAGGATAAACAATGCAACAGCGTCAAGCACTGCTAAAAGCAGTGATACTAAATGTTCTACTTCAGTTGTACGTGGCATGGCTATCACCAAGGTATTTTTGTTTTGTTTTTCAATATTATTTTTTATTTGTTTAGCGAGATACCAGATGCAATTAGTGTAGAAAATGACTGTACGTGTTAAGAAAGCTTGGTATGTAAGTGTTGGTTAGCCCGTGTGAGTCCTAATTTTCGAAAGTACATACTTTTAATTTCGTTTGTTATAATGGCGGCCGGGTCTAGTGCGGAGTAATATAGGTTGGCTCTTGAAGTCTATGGTCCTGGAAATATAGACGCAAGTTCATAAATATATATTTGATCAAATTTCAGTATTCTCTATTTTTAAAATGCGGCGTGGTGTGTGCGCCGTATTTTAGAGTTGTCTATTAAGCGAACAGCCTTTTCTACAAAATATGTATATGTGTGATATTGGTCTTTGTCGTGTGACCCGCGACAAGAACGCAGTATATATACCTTGCTATATACTAATGCATTATAAAGCTGGTACTTGTGACCTTCCGGTTAAACTTCACTGTTTTCCGTCATTCTAATATTTTAAGTTCGCACCGTCACACTAGTCAAGCTTCGTTACTGAAACGTAGACGAGTCCTTAGTCTCCTTACTAACGTTAAGGGAAATCACTAGTTGACATATGGCGAATGAAGACACCTAATTTGCCAAGCAAAGTCCATCATTTTTAAATTTCTAGTTCTGAATTTTGCACAGCTCGAAAAGACATATATATATAGTAATAATTCTAGTACGGCTGCGATTTAAAAACTGACGTTCATAGATCGGAAGCTCTTATATTCCACCTTTTAACATCTCCAAGTCGTATATTTGCTGCAAAAACTTGAAAAAATAATAAAGACTTGCGACACAGGTCAGTCTGTCCTTTCGACCAGCATACAGCTTCTTGTTCAATTTAAAGTTTATTCTTTTTTTCCAGGGGAGAAGGAGAGGGAGAAAAAATGAAAGCCGTTTACAAATCTCTGTAATACGAAATTAGAGCGCAGCTCTTGAGGATGCTGAGGGGATGGTACGGAGGAAAGGGTATTCCCCCCTCCTCCTCCGTACCCTCCCGTCATGCTCCTTCTCCTCTTTTCCTTTTCCCCGCTAAATTTATCGGGGAAAATGACGTCACGTGACTTGGTATCACGTCACGTATGAACAAATTCAGTTTCTCCGCTAAATTTAGCGGGAAAATTGACGGCACGTGACCTAAAAACAAATTCAATTATCCGCTAAATTTAGCGGGGAATTGAATTGGTGTTGGAGGTCACGTGACATCAACTTTCCCTCTAAATTTAGCGGGCCGGTTACGCCAACGGCGACGCCGACGCCGCGAAACCCGAAAACGGGAGCCCAAGAGCTGCGCTCTAAACAAGAGCAGACTGTTGTCGCTTGACAAGATTTCTCTCCCCTCCAACAACAGGAGGAACTATTATGCAGACTAGTGACCCATACAACAGGAATTACATAAAAGCAAAATACATAACATTAAACAAAAAAGAGCGGAGACACACTACGAATATTTCTTACGGGTCGAAGGCCCTATTGAGAAGAGGAACAGCAAGAAATGGAGAAACAAAGAACGAATATCCTTTCTGCTCACTCTCATCAAATCCGAGCCCAATATGTGTGTACTACTGAACGATGGGGTTTCTCCGGAGTTCAGAGTTTAAAGCCAAAATTATGAGAAATGGCAGCCACTTCTAATTTTGTTCATAATCCTTCCCTGTGATTCTGGTTAAATTACCCCCCTTCCCTCCCCAACGTTCCCAAACGCATGTTTTATGACTTGTTTTTGACCCAGAATGACTCCAGTCTATTTCAGTGGAGCCTGTCCCAGCAAACTTATAAAAAAGGCATTTTGAGGAGAAAACTGCTCCTCTCTAAAAGATGTGACATCTCCTGAACACCATTCCCAAGCCGCCAGAAAGGTGTAACGACACCTCTCACGCACGCACAGCAGGCGTATTTGGAACATATACACCTATTGTACAAACATATAGCGCTTTGCAAAGGTGCATTCAGTATGAAACACCTGCCAAATACCATTATGTGTGTTTTGAAGTTTACCGTACACATGTGATCGTTGCGTGTTGAGGCATGGCAATGTGTCCCCTCTGCTTGCTGTCCAGGGTGGTCCGCGAGGCGACCGAGGTGAACGTGGACATGCGCATCGGCGTACACTCGGGCAACGTGCTCTGCGGCGTGCTGGGACTTAGGAAGTGGCAGTACGACGTCTGGTCCGATGATGTCACGCTGGCCAACCACATGGAGTCTGGCGGCGTGCCCGGGTCAGTAACCTCGTTCCCTTCTTCACCACTTCGCTCGTTCCCAACGGAAGTGTTTCTATACCTGTTGCTCTTCACTGAGGTATCAAAGGCGTCGCATTAGTATAGGCGGTGATCTCAATATAGAAATTTCCACTTGTGAACCTTTAAGTAGGAAGATAAAATAACTATTTCGCTTCAGAAGAAATATTTTTCTTTCTTATTTGGGTAAAAACTACTCACCGCTTAACGGGACAGGGTGTGGCCATTTTCAGAGAATTGTGGTCTTCCATAATATGAAAGACCTATTCGCCGAGGTGGTTTATTCGGTGGTGTACACACTGACCAAAGGCACTTTATTTTTATAGGAAGAATAGAAGAACCCAGGTTCATTTATTCCCCTCACTCCGAGACAGGGTCCGGCCCAAAGCGAATTCAGTACATCCGCCGTTAACTGCCTCGCCGAATGGGCAATTCCCATTGTTAGAATTTGTACTTTACAGAAGCAAAAAGAGTGACAAAACGCCGTCTTCCACCTTTCACTGATTTTCTAGATTCTAGAAAAGCCCTCTGGGGGCCATTAAGTAGATTGGTGCACTTGAGATGTTATATTACATGCGCGAGCCATAATGTTAAAGAGTTTACTTGCTTTCTATATTATACACCTTCCCCCTTCATGTAATGCAATCAGAAGAGTGTCTTGGAGGTAATGGAAGTAAATTAAATACAGGGAGATGGGGCAGCTGCACGGGGTAGTTTACAATGAACATACAACACAGGTGAAGTGAGTAAAATACATATAAAACAAATTTCCATAACGATCGACACCCAGGCAAGCAATACACAAGTAAAACATTTGGAGACAGTACACGCAGTTTCTGCTCTCTCCTCTCACCATATAAAAAAATGACCGACTAGTTTTGTAAAAAAAAAAAGTGTCGGTGTTTTCAAGGGATTCAATGAAATCGAGCGGGTCGTTCCAGTCACCGATCATCTGTGAGGGAAAGATGATTAGATGTTTTAGCGCTGTTTTGGGCAGATGAACCGGGGGCGGGGGGTGGGGAAGGGGGGGCGGTCTAATGTGGTAGGGCGTTGCGCAGCACAGAATGGTAGAACCAAATCTTGTGAAGCACTGAAAGGCGAGTAATTTTGCGATAAATTTGCAACGGTGTCAGATTTATCGCGCTCTTCTGGCGGAGACGCTGGAAGAAGGGCAGTAGTAAGACAAAATGAACCTTGAATACCGGTTCTGAAAAGATACCAGGTATTTATTAACATAGACTGTATTAGAGGTCAAAACTATAGCCGCACACCCTAGTTTGGACCCTTCGAATGTTTAGGGTCCTTCGTTTTCTGATAAATTTTGATCTCTGCCGATATTTACCTCCGTATGTTTTTTTTTTTTTTTTTTTTTTAAGACTGGGTTAAACCCAATTTTCCATCCAAATTCGGATGTTGAATCTCCCTTTTTTCTAAATTACTCTGCTCCTCAGATATTCTATATGAAGCAAAGCGTTGGTAGAAGGACCTACGTTAGCTCCAGATCTCGGAAACATACCTAGATTACGTTGACTCCAGCGAACTGCAGTGTAATAAATCGAGTCCCAAATTGTTGCTTTTCGAAGAAAGACCGAATATACTGCGGAAACCGCAAACGAAACTCGGACGGTAGCTATAGGCTCCTCCCTTTTTGCGAAAATCGGAAACGATTCGAGAGATCCGGAGCACCAAATATTTTTCGGACGGAGCCTTCGATTTTCGAACGGCTTGGGGTGAGAAGACCCGGTGAAGCACACAGAATTCGTAAAGCATTGCAATTTCCGCGCTGGAAGCAATGCCTCTTGTAGCTCATTTTTCAAAAATCGCGTACAACGACTTTCAGATGGTCCGATTTCCGTCCGATTCTCGGTCCATTTTTTTCGGATCATGTGTTCCAGCTTTTATTGTGAAGTATACTTGCCTTCCTTTTATTTCCTTCTCAAACAGCGACAAAAAAAAAAAAAAAGAAGAGAAAAACGGGAATATATTCTCAAAATTTTGTTTCGAAAGAAATGGCAGATATTTTTTGTTTTTTTTTCGAACTGAAGTGGTACTGTTGTGCATTGAAAAGGTACGCGTAAGCTATTATGTTGAGAAAACGTTCTCTCAGTTCATATTAAAAAAGAATGACACAGACAGGACTAGGATGGGTACAGAGATGCTACGCGTGCGGAATATTATCTAAGCAACAAGGATTATCAAATATCGAAAAGCCTAAGAGAGCTGTTACCACATTTTATAATGCTGTCTTGTGTACTCTAATTACTTAATTATGACACAAATTCATATATTGAAATATATCAACGCTCTCTTTTCTTAATTACACCTGTATCTATTTCTAAATATAACATATATTAACTTAATATAGGCCTCATATAACCTAAAAATCCGAATTCCAGAGTATTTTCTCAAACCCAATATTTCTCTGATTACAGTTTCGAACAAAGCGCCCAAATTTTACCTCTCCATTAAAAAAAAAAACAAAAAAAAAAAAACACGTAAAAACGCTAAATTTTACATATGCTACTTTTTCAAGATAAGATGGAGTAGCTTTTAGGTTTCGACAAAGGTTAGCGACGCCGACTGCCTGTCCAGAGCCCCGGTAGATCTAGCTACCGGCTATGCCAAGCACGACGACGAAGACGACGGTCGCTTTCTTGGCGCAGTTAGCGTCAATGCCATGGCAGCGCTCCAACGGGGGGCAATCCTGAACTAATTCCGCGCACTGATCGACCACTTGGAGGGACAAGGGAGTACAATTCCTTGATCCTTCTCACGTGTCCTGACAACATTCGCTCTCCGGCAAGGTGTTCTCCACAAAGAGAACTTTTGGAAACAGCAACTCGACGTGGCTCCTGGTAATCCCTACTAGTCTTCGAAAGGAGATGTTTTTAAGCCTGCTACGACGACCCGACGTCTGGTCACTTTGGCTACAGCAGGACTCTCGCGAGGATTCGAGAGAAGTACTACTGGTCAAAGCTCCCGAAGACTGCCCACCTCTACACACGGTCGTGCCACGAGTGCCAGCGATGGAAGAAACCGCCTACGAAGCCGGCTGGCCTCCTGCAGCCAATCGCGCCCCCGACTGCACCATTCCAGCAGATTGGAATGAATCTACTTGGACCTTTCCCGTCGTCAACGCAGGGAAACCGATGAATAAACGTGGCAACAGGTTGTGTCACCCAATACGCCAAGACAAAAGCCCTCCCATCGGGACCCGCGGTGGAAGTAGCCCAGTTCTCCGTCGAGAGCAACGGCGGGACCGGCAACGAGAATGCCAGTGGCGTCGGCGGCCAGCACGGGTGTGCGCATACATTTCGTCACGATGGCCACCGATCAAGACAATAAATGTGCTCGTACTTTTGTTCAAAATTCTGTGTCACGTCTGTTTCGTGTGCTAAACAGCTTCTCGGTCATCCCTATTCACAAAGCAGAATGGCTCCCCATCTTTTTTTTTTTGTTTAATCTAAAGATTACCGTTTCGCAAATTAGCTTGTCTGAGTCAACGTCTTAGTGGTGTTCTAAAGCTTTAAAAGGAAGCCTTTGTTCACTCCTGCCATTGTCTGGTCTGTAAAAAAAAATAACTGAGTCTAGCTTCACATTGCGAACTGGAGGGTTCATAGAGTGTAAACCAACCGCTACCCCCGTGAAATACACAAAACAACACAAACTGACTTTTGTGAGCACATGCATGGCTGTAGAAGGGTTCGTGGAGTGTAAACCTTGCACATCTCTGTGTTTGCAGGCGCGTGCACATTACTCGGGCAACGTACCAGCTGCTGGACGGCAGATTCGAGACGGAGCCCGGAAACGGGGCCCAGAGGGACCCTTACCTGGCAGAGCACCAAGTGGACACCTTTCTCATCGCCCCGCTCAAGGTGGGCAAAGTGAATATTAGGGTTTCGCGCCGTAAAGCAACTGCTCTTATGAGTAACGTTCTTTGTTGTCGGAGTTTCTTCGGTCCCGCAGATTCGGTGTTCAGACAAACAATCGGCGTTTATCGGGAATTAAGTTTAAAAAACAGGACACGGACTTCGTAGTCCTCAACCCCCAAGCAACATAGAGTGGCCTAAATACTAGGGAAACGTTCCAGTACAGCGATGAGAAAATGAAACGGGACAATCGATCCCGAAAAGAGAAGAATCTTCGAGGACAATTCACTGCGCGGTCTCTGTTCCGAGTCGAGACAAGGTAAGGCTCTGAGTCACAGTAGACAGCAAGCTTGAGTAATGGGAGAAATGTCCCAACTCAATATCGTTACACGTGCCGTGCAACAATATTGAATCAAAAGAAGTTACACGCACTACCTAACTGCTCTTCAATGCGGCCTCCGACCATGACACGTTTTCGCCAACCATTAATTCTTTGTGTGTCGACTTTCTTCTCAAGTGCAATAGAACCCTCAGAGAAAAAAGCGCCATTTGTCGTACGCAACGGCAACCAGCGCCAGCCGCCATGCTGCGGGGTAGTGGTGCGTCGTTGCATACGCTGCATAGGCCGTAGACGCTAGTCTGACTGTGTCAGTTCCACGGCCCATGATGCGAACGTACTGCTGCGTACCCCTCTGTAAGCAGAGTGGGTACGTATTCGCAAATGAACTCGCTATCGGTTGACGGGCGTCGGTCGGATGGGGATAATCAGAGGCCCAGCAGCGCAGACGTTTGCCTGCTCAAGTGCAAGAACGGAACGCGAGCCGTTCCCACCCTTCAGACTTTTTATTTGCCTTAAAGCCTTCAGACTTTTTACTTGAATTCGAAATGTGACTTAAATTTTAATACGTAAGGTATTCGCGGTAAGTTTCTACTTGATACTTCGAGTACTTGACTTTTGCAGGTGATTTTAGAGTCGAAGCTTTATTTTGAAATACACCCATAGAGCAAATTAAAGTTTTACTTGTTTTTGTAACTTTTATTGTACACGATCTTTGTCGTACATGAAACCCGTGCTGGCCGTGTACCAACGATGGCTCGTGTGGGTTTACGTATAGAACACGAAGAAGCAATATGCAGTGTAGAAATTTGGAAGGGCCGGGGGGAGAGGGGGCGGATTTCTGGCTCTTAATATTATGGAAGTCATTAAAACATAAAAGTCGTGTAATCCCGCTTAAATTCCCCACCTGAGCCAAAGTGGTACTTGCATTTTAATAACACCTAATTTTCTATTTGCATATTTCATTCCATGGGTTACCAAAAAACAGGGAGAACTACAAAAGATGGATAGCCTCCCTCAACGAGGAAGTTTTAGCTTCCATCGAAGGAGCGCTCTGCCTTCGATCGGCTCTTGTAGAAGCGATGTACTTCGTCATTTTTAAACTGCTGGGAGTTGGGAAAATGTTGTTTACCCAACCCGAGATTGGGAAAACGATGCCTGCAGCCATGCAGAGGTGAAGAGATCGAGGAAATGCAAGAACGCCACAGTGTAAACAACTGTACTGGCCGCAACTGAGTCCTTCCTAATAGCGCCGGCCGCCCAATGCTGTTGGACTCGTTCAGGGGATTTTCGCTGTTGCCAGATTTTTTAGAAGGCGTCTATAACATTTCTTTCGGCAGCCCCCCCCCCCCTCCCCTCCCCTCCCCTCCCCTCCCCTCCCCTCCCCGAACTGGAATATTCCGCTTTGTTACACGAAACGATATCCCAAAAGTGAAATCGAACACCGGGCCCCAGACTTGGGAGGCCCACACTCAACTGTTGCACCAACGGGGAGGCGTGTACCTCTGACCATATATGGCTCTGCCTCTGACTTTTTCTCCCGTTGTACGAGGGATAGTGCAGCCGAGGTGCAATCCATCTCCGGGAATTCGCGCTTGTGTCCGCGAATGTCCAGGGATCATGGGATCCGCCAACGTCATTTCCAACAGGGGGCGCACTTTAAAAAAATTACACCATCTTCCCGAGGGGAACCATGGGGTGATGCGGAGCATCAACGTTCCATCACACTTCATCGGAAGAACGGAGTGAAGTGGAGTCAACAGCGGTTAACTGAACGCGCGCAGAAATTGGTTTGCTCTTTATGTTTATACAGCCTTGATGGAGATGCGCCTCAACGGGTAATCGGTCTCATGGCTGTAGATGAGAAATTTAGCCAGTGCAGTACAACCACCAACCTGGGATTTTTAACGTGCATTACGCAGTAGTGATGACACGAACGCGTGCCGGTACGAAACTCATCCAGATCGAAACGGGCGGGGGTGGCGGGGACTCGAACCCAGGAGGTTCCCAGCGCAAGCTTTCGCTTCACGCTCCGAGCTGAGACGCGTTAGCCCACTCGGCCACTTCCTCCCCTTGAACGCGCGCAGCGCGCTCCCCCCCCCCCCCCCCCCCCCCCCCTACCGCTGCTTATATTCACACTTGAAGGAGAGGAGGAGAGTTGCGCCTGCGCGCGCGGTGTGAGCAACCAGCTGCGCGGTGTGAGCAACCAGCAACCAGCTGCGCGCGGTGCACGCAGCTGGTTGCTGCGTGCAGCTGTTGGAGAGAGAGAGAACGCACGCGCTGCTGTTGGAGAGAGGGACGCAGCTGGTAGCTGCGTGCACTTCGCGCAGCTGTTGGACAGAAAGAGAACGCACGCGCAGCGAGGAGTGTTGCGCATGCGTAGTGTGAGTGCGGACTCCGACGCCGCGGGACATAGACCCGAGCAAGAGATGCTCCGCATCTAAAAAAGGGGTCATGATATATAGAAGTACTGGTGGCAAATGTCCGAAATAGATTGCAGAAACTAGCTGTGGTACGAGAAGAGGAAAGGGACACCTTTGGGTCTGAGTTATATTGGAGGAACTTCTGGAAGGATTCGGTGTTTGTCGACGAGAAAGAGAAAACCACTGCATCGCCGCGCCAGCATGCGGTGATGCAGCCTGCCGACGCGCTCGCAGCGTTGGTACGTCTTACAACGAGGGCGACGTTAGCAGGTCCATGGCAACGCCAAGACGAACGCGTTCGCTGGTTTGCGGCAACTTTCGTTGACTGTCAGCACGCTTGCCCCTTGGGGCAGGGCGGGGCATCCAGTAACCATGACATCTTGAGCAGGCCTCGTCTTTGGTATTGGCTGAGGAGGCTAGTCGTAGACGTAATACTACTGAAGGGTTATTCACACAGTTGCATTGAGTTCGCTCGAGTGCGACGGTTGCTATGGCAAAAGCTGCGTCGCCTCCAGCAAAACGGGGAGAAACCCGGTTTTGTTGGAGCCAACGCAGCTGTTGCCACAGCAACCCCCCCATTCGATCGGACACAACGCAAGTGTGTGAATCGCCCCTGAGACACGGGATGCGAAATCACAAGGGGAAGTGAAAATGGCGCGCAAATTCTAATAGTCGTTCTGAGGAAGCGGCGCGGAAGCGACCAACGATGCCACAAGGATATATAAATTACGCGAGCGCCTAGCATCTGCCGCCGTGACACGCGTTAACGGTAGCGCACGAGATGCGCTTGGATTAATCTTTTTCTTGGAAAGCGTCAAAAACGTTTTAATCAAAACAAGCCAATTATTACTGAGGCGAGAAAAATACATATAACGAAGAAAACACACGCTTCCATTGGTGACGGAAAGAACGGAAATATGGTGTCAATGAGATGAAATGGCAAAATATTTTTTTTTTTTAACGCAGATCAGTGGAAACGGTGTGAACTTGATGCGAGTAGAATTTCAAGTCCGGCATAATTAAAATCTTTATTCATAAAAAGTATGTATTTATTTTTACGAAGAAACCGGCACCACTCTTGCGCATAGTTTTAGGCGGTAGTATAGTCCAAAAATAAGTAAAAATAAATGTAATATTAAAAAAAAAAACGTTTAAAAAGACGGTCCGTTTCTGACAAGCAGCACAAATGTTTTTGGATAAAAGGGCAACACGTATACGCGAATATACTAATGATTGGGCGAAACTCTGGTGACGTCACTGAAGTTTTATCCAATCAAGCATCGCCTTCTGCTCCAAAAAAACCAGCTCCTCAGTCCTAGTAGCTCGGAGTTGCTCTTTCGACTGTCACGTGATCGCTTGATGTCTTGACTCGTCGGATCTCTTGACTATAAGCGGAAGGAGCGGAAGGAGCTGAGGTGTGCGGGCAATGTGAAGATAGAGTTAGTGTTCAGTGAAGACCACTCCACAGTGAAGACCACTGCACAGGCACCACTGCACAGTTGTGAAAGCGAAGTCCTCGGTGACTGCGCGTTTGTCCTTTGATGAGAAGCAGCTATAAGTTTCTTGATCGGCGGAAGGGGTTTGTGGCAAGACATCTTTTCTTTCAGTCAATTCACGCGAATAATATCGTCATGAAGAGAGCGGCCATCGCGTACCATTGAACGACCATTAGTCTGAGATTATAAAAAAGCAAGGATGGCATTCGTCGACCCTCCGAGAAAAGATTTACAATTCAAGTTTTATGTTGCATCAATTGGCTAGTTTTCACCAGGATCTTTTTTTTTTCTTTTTTTGCAATATAACTTTTAGATTAAATATTTTGACACTTTATTTTTAGTTTGAATAAGTCTGCAACGCTAACGCGCGAGCAGACTGAAGCACTTTGTTTTTCATTAATTCACCATGCCTCGTATCTTTAACCTACCAATTTTACAGTGTGAGCATAAAGGAATTAAATAAAAACAATTTAGTTCTAATATAGAAAAAATAGAAAACTCAACTTTATGGCGTTACGTAGCCCAGCCCATTGAGTTTTGTTTGTTTGTCTGCTTTGTTATAAATGGCGCCGCGATGTCTTGTTTCAACGAGGTGTCAAGAAAGCGCAGTGTGTTTTGTGGAATTAGGAAAGCAAATAACAGTTCAGAAATAAAGCAGTTAAGAAATATTTATGGACCAAATGAAACTATATTCATACCCGTTTCATGAATAATATGACGAGGTGACTTCTCAGGAATGCAACGAAAAGC